TTCTTCACAATCGTTACAAAATAAACAAGTTAAAAATTGTACATCTGAAGGAAAACTTTGAAAAATTTATGACACTGGTGACATGTTAAAAGATGTATGGCAGCTGTAAATGTAGGTTTGGTGGAAAACTATGGATATATAAAAAGATGTACTTATATCACAAGTAGGACTGGCTAATACCAACAGACCAGACTCAAAAATGCACTTTTATTCACTAACAATGTAAATTTCTTTTTTGCCAGTTGTTTAATTAGCAAATAACTAACCAAAGATATAAGAACTGAATTTATAATGCTTAGTTTCAGACCACATACTATGAAATGGTTTTCAAGTTGGTTGCAATGATCAGTTCATTAGTGTAGTTTAACCGGTACTTACAGTTTATAAGTGTAGTGCATCCAATCCTTACACTTTACTAGTTTAGTGTATCCAGTCCTTACAGTTTACAAGTGAAGTGTGTTCAGTCTTTACAATTTACTGGTTTAGTGTATCCAGTCCTTACTGTTTACAAGTGTGTCCAATCCTTACAATTTATGAGTTTAATGTATCCTGTCCTTACAGTTTACAAGTATAGTGTGTCCAATCCTTAAAGTTTACAAATTTAATGCATCTAATCTTTACAATTTACTAGTGTAGTCTGATCCTAGACAGAAATATTGGTTCATACCTAAATAATCTCACTGACTTTGACAATTACTGTGCTAGTATATATATAAAAAGTGTAGAAGACAATTTGAATATTTTGGAAAAACATTTTATGTATTTGATTGGTCATATTTTCCAAAGCAGAAAATGATTGGTTTGAAAATAGTAATATCTGATTGGTTCATTACATAAAAATAATTAGTTACTATAGAAAGTTTTAAGAATCATCTTTTACTTAATTTTAGAGCCAAAATTCAATTTGATGCCAAGAAATTACAATAATTACACACTTCAATGACATGGAAATATGTATATATATTCATAAACATTGTATTTACCTTTTTAAATGCTGTGTCTTTTCAGGACATAGGCAATCACAATTTAATACAGATTTCTTTTATTATCTATAAATTGCCATAGATTCTTGGGGAAGGTAGTGGAGTAGTTTCCCATTACTTTCTCCATGATTTGAAACTCAGTTTTTCTTCTCTTAGAGTAGTTGCCGCCCAAGGCTAGATAGTGCAGTTTACCCTGCTATTTAACCCATAACTGGAGAGGGGAAAGATACAAGATGATAAAATCATTCAATTAAATGAAGAGCTACTGACTAAATGACAAAAATAGCAGAGTGGATTTCAAAAGACAGTCTTCTAACTCTTCTAAAATATGTACAATTGGGATGGTTTGTGTAAGTAAGAATATTATGATTGTGAAATTGTTGTAATTACACACTTCAGTGACATGAGAATATGTATATGTGTTCATAAATGTTATATTTATTTGTCTCTGCACAATGGCTATTACTTTAGTGTAGGGAACTCTATATGACATGCAACTCTAGGTTACTTTTGTTTTTCAAAAAATGTACCTGATGTTCCTTAATCTGTACCACAAGCATCAAAATTTTCACTCAACTCTACCTTGCTTAGCATAAAAAGAATTTTTTTTTTTAATGAGTTCAAGGTGACAATGCCAATAAGACACAAGAGGCTACTTAGAATGAAAGAGAACGAACAAACTTTAGAAGGAACTGGAAACCCAATCCTAAACAGGAAACAAGGAATAAACCTCTGTTCAAAAGAATGACAAGGAATGTGAACCAGATTTTGGGTGAACCTATCTATTCCTAATGAGATTAAAAAAAAAATAGTAAATAAACTTTCAGAGTTCAGGTGGAGACATTAGAAGTATAGACTTGAAGTAGACTTTACAAGGAACTGAAAACCAAATCCTAAACAGGAAACAAGGGATGAATCTCTACTCCTGTTCAAAAGACAGGGGAGAAGTGTGAACTGAACAATAAGCAAAACTATCTACTCCTAAGTGCAGGTGTCGGATTACTCCACCTCTTTTGTGAGGATACCTACTAATTGTTGTATTCAGGACTATAAAAAGAAGAAAATATTTTTAGGTTTTAAGAATATTTCGGAAATAATAATGATTTACTGATACAAGTCCTACTAATTAACCCATAGCTGGGGGTAGAAGAGGTGGATCCATACCTTTCCCAAGGGTATTTGCATGTAATGGAATATAATGAACCTGACTGGAATTCAAACTTGTCTCTCCAATTTCTAATTTTGAGCCATTATCCATTTTATCACCTGTACATGCAAGCTTACAAATGGAAAATCCTCCATGTGTTGTATTAATTTCTTTTGAAAATGTTGAATTCATTTCCTTTGAAAGTTCTCAACTCTTGCTTTTACAATTTTCAACACCATCAACTACAAAGTCGTAATTCCATTCCTAACAATCAGTGTTCTTTTAGTTTTTCTATTGTTTCATTCATGAAGGCAGTCTAATGTGTGAAAAGCAGAGGAGAATAAGTTAATTTTAGGGATTAGGGAAAGAAAACTAGCAAGCAGCCTCACATATTGTTGAAGATGTGTTTCTGAAATATGATATATAAATATATTCTTCTTTATGTGCCGTGCCCTCTCAAGATGTAATCAATCATGGCTCTCCATAACTTCCTGTCCTTTGTAGCTCTGAATAAACTTTGTCTTTCTATTATTTCTCCTAAACCCTGTTCTGCCATCCATTTACTCAAGCTCATTGTTATGCATTGTTTTTCCCTGTCCCTCTTGCCCTCTATCTGTCATGTGAGTATAAAATTTTGCTAAGCCTTCCTACCTAATTATGTGCCCCAGAAACCTCAACTGTCTCTTCTTAATGTTAAATACAAGTTTCCTTTTTGTTTCCATTTTCTCTAAAACTTTGTTATTGCTCACATGTTCGGTCCATAGTATCCTCAGCATCCTTTTGTTGCTTCAAGTCTCTTCATCTTTGAGGAGATTGTCCAGCACTTACTGCCATACAAGAGGGCAGATATCGCATAACTGTTTAGTACTCTTTTCCTTGTTTCTAGGGAAATTTTTCTATTTCTTAGTACTCTGCTTATCTTGTGGAATGCTTCCTTTGCTATCTCAATACACCTTTGGATTTCAGTGTCACACTTTCGATCCTTTGTTAAAACACTTTCTCGGTATTTAAATTTCCACACTTGCTTGATTTTGGTATCTCTGATTTGCAATTCATACTTTGGACTCATCCTTTTGCTAACAGCCATGCATTCTGTCTTCTTGCAGTTGATGTTTAATCCTTTTTTCTTGCTTTCTTTCACTACTTTCTGTTGAAGTTTTTGTAGCTTTCTTTCTGTATATGCTATCAACACTGTGTCATCTGCATACCTTACATTGTTAATAATGTGGCCACCAATAATGAATCCGGGTAGGACTTCTAGTTCTTTCAGAATCACCTCACTGTATAAGTTGAGTAAGTCCGGTGAGAAGGCACATATCTGTATTCTCATCAGAATACAGGAAACCAAAATAAATAAGATCAGCTGACAGTCATACTTGGGTATCAGGTTGCAAGTCCTGATTCGCGAGGAAGGATGTGGTGGATTTGAGTGATTTTTTCATTCAACCAGAAATTAATTAATTATCAATTAGTGAGTGAGTGAAGGATTACCTGTAAAAAAAAAATAACTTTCTCTTTTCAAAATTTTTCTGTGATAATTTTTGCCTCATAGCAAATGCCCAGACTTTAAAATCCTAAGAATTGGAAGTTTTTCTCTCACTTACTCCACTCTCCTTCATTGGTGAGTTGTCAGTAAAATTTCCCTACTAAGTACAATAAAAGCAGTCAGTACAGACTATAGGCATTGTGATGTTTAACACTATGAGTAAAAGTTTCCACTTGGTGAAAAAGAAGTCTAATTTGATTTTCAGTAAGAGGCATAGTCTAACTTTAGTATATTAATCTCAAGAAGACTTGTAGGGGTTTACTCACATCATAGCTGCAGAAATTAGCCTTGTGTTCACATAGATAAAAACATCCTTGGCAGGAAATAAAATGTACAGAAATAACAGGAAAAGCATGGTAAATTATATGATAATTTCATACAATTTATTTATATTTTTTGTGTGTATTGGTGTATGCATTTTTTTAGGCTACAATTGTTTTATGTGATAAGAGGGAGAAGTTACTCTGTAGTATTACAAGCCATATCACAGAGAGAAGTTGGACATGTGTTGCCTGTACCAGGATTCATGGTAAAGAGATTGAATTTAACTTCTTTTGGTGGGATGTCTCTATTTCCAGCAGTAACTGTTTATGTTGCACGCTTGGAAAGTTTTATTATTATTATTTTTTTTAATTTATTTTAAAAGCTTTATCAGTACCTTTTTTTTCACTTGGGCAGTGGTTTGGGGGGGGATTTCAGTCTAAAAATCTCTATTCTTTTCAAAGACAAATTACTTAACTTAGTTGTTCTCATATAAAACGATTTTTTTATCTATTAGAAAATACTTTCATTTTTTTTTATTTAAAGAAAAATAAGAGCAAATTTCAAATTTAACTTGAAATTATTAAAATAATTAAGTTAATTTTATTTTTAACTTTCCATTATGAACTTATTTTATTGAACTTTAACTAAAATCGTTTTATTTGAGTAAACTAAACAAAAAAAAATATTTTATCGAATATAATTCTGATGTATTTTTTGTGTGTAATTTTTTTTTTCCTTTTCCCAATTTCCTTGCATCTGTGGGTGGGGGAGACCCAAGAAGTGATTTGGTGCCCCATTGGCAGTGAAACTCTTCGATAGAAATACTAAAGAAGTATGTGTCGTCGTTTGAAAACGTTTTCCAAATGTTCTTCTTTGAATATAAATCTGATGAGTTTGTTTTTATATAAGCTTTTCTTGGGTGTCTTACAGTTTTGTGTGTGTTTATAGTTAAAATACTACTAATACTGATACTAAAAAACACAGAAAAGCCAGCCAAGCTGAGTTGTTGCCATTTTACGACAGTTTACTGCCAGCGTGTAAGAAACCCGGCAGTGTCAAAATGGCGACTGTTGCTGTAGGCAAGGAGGTTCGGACCGGTTTCGACGGTGATGAATTCGTCAATGAATTAAATTTACAGAATGAGAATTCAGTTTCAGACTCCTCGCACATTGCTGACCTACCTATGAATTATGGAGAGATAAAGCAACGTTATATTGCCAAGGTAAAAGAAGGCATTTTGTCGTCCTGCTCTGTAATTTCACTTCTTTCCTCCTTTTGTTTATGTCGTAGTTGAAGATTTCATAGTCTGGCTGGACCTGTTTTTTTTCTTTCATTTTTGAATTCACTGCTGTATTGTTTTGATTTTATCAGGCTAGCTACGAATGATGTTTATTTTAAGTGTTATGTAAAAAAAAAAAAAGATAGAAAAGCTGATATTGTTTTCAGTTTTCACTAAAAATAAATTGAAACAAAAAATTGAATTTTAAATATTGATAATAATACCAGGCTCTCTTAACAAACCATGAATTAATTTTCTGGCTATATTACTTATCTTTGCATATTTTTATTTTATATTTTATCTTATCAGTTTCGCTCTTCTTACCCAACAATTTCATATTTTTTCTTTTAGTTTAAAAAACAATAAAATCAGCTAAGCACGCCCCAAAGGCCAAAAATAATATATATATTTTTTTAATTTTAACTTATCAACTTTGGAAAAAGATAATTTTTTTTTTAATTCGATATTTTCTTTCTACTGAAATTTTTTAGAGAAAAAGATTATTACTAATAAAAAATAAATAAAAATTGTTTTGTTTGACTTTTGATTTTATTTTAATGATGGAATATCATTAAAGATTCGTCAATTTGTTTTTAAATTTAAAAATCTTGATGCATAAATTAATTAATGTTTTTTTTTTTCAAGAATGTGTTTGTAAAAATAAATTTTGGTTTTGATTCTTTAAAAACAAATAAAAATAAAGCGTTATGAATTGCAAATGATAAAAATTAAGATAACTCAAAGCAAAGTCAAATTGAAACTTCTCTAATTCCAACATTAGTTTTTTTTTTTTTTTTCTTTTTTTTTAATTATCAAAAGCAAAATACCCCCCCCCTACATTTCTGGTATTAAGAAAAACAATGTTGGGTGGGAGTATTTAATTTTTAAAGGGAAACCATTAATTAACCAATATTATCAGCTTTTTTGCCGCTCTTTAGAATTAAAAAAAAAATCCAAATATTTTTGTGGACTACTTGAGTACTTTTCAATTGAAAGAAGTTAGAACATAGCATAAAATAATAATGAAAAATATTTTTTTAACTAAGCTGGAGAATGTAACACAAAAAATCAGTTAACTAAAAATTACATGTGCAAAAGAAAATATTGATCATTTTACTTTTGATTTAATAATACTAATTTATTAAACATTGTTTATGTTGCTAACTGTTTGTGCCAACGTACAATCAATAGGTAGAAATTAGAAAAAAATGACAAAATGTTTTGATTTTCCTATGTATACAGTACGTTTTACGGCAAGAAGATGCACACAAGAACACAGCACTTGCTCTTCTTACGAATGATTCTATATTGTAATAAAGTGATTTTTTTTCAAAATATTTGTTTCTGTAGTGTTTAGTTTAGTTTTTTTTTTTTTTGTAGCTTTGATATTTATTTTCGATAGTATCGAAAAGACTTCAATAAAAATACTAGTAATTTTAGTTGCAATACGAGAGATAGTAAAAAAAAAAAAATAATAATTTGTTTTTATTCACAACTGGACCCACCCTAGATGACACGGTGACGTGACACAGCCACACCTTGCATTGCTACGACTACACTTTCAGTTTTTTTCTTTTTATTCTTCAGTCGGTTTCGGGTACCCGTTCGTATTTTAAAACTTTAGTTGCTAATCAATATGATCTGTTTGTTTAACAAAATGAGTGTGGAGACTGGTAAATTTTTTATTACAATTGCATTGTAATTGTAGTAAATAAGTAAACACTACAACCTGTAAACACGTAATTCTTTTTACCCAAGGACTGACACGTAATAATTCAGACATAAAGACTTTATCATCCAACTGAAAAAAAAAAAGTAAAAAGACATATCGCCTTTTAAAAGGTAATTAGTATTTCTTCATTTCATTCTTTTATCATCTGATAATATTCGTATTAAACAAAGTGAACGATGAGTCCATTTCTTTTTTTTTATTTTCTTCAAATACCGAGGAATTATAATTGACTAATAATTCCAGCCATCGAAATAAAAATGAATGAAACCAGCGATGGTCCGATTATTAAATCCTCTATCTGCTTTTAATCCGAGCATTGATTTCTGAAATTAAGTCTTCTTCGTCGTTACAGTTCATTAATAAAAACGAAATGTATGCGTTGGAAAAGGTGAATTTTATATTGGAAAACAAATCGATCGTTTTTAGTTTCGATTTTTTCTTTTTACTTATTTAAGAAAATTTAAAAACTTTTAGCAGTTATGAAATTCACGCCTGCTTTTTAAAATACCATTTCAAAACAAAAAAAAAAAAAAATCAGTTAATTTAAAAATAATATATTTTTTGATGAACTCTCCCAAAATTCCGTGTTATTGATTGTTGAAAGAAAATGATTGACTTTGTTTAATGAAAATTTGTTTATTTGTTTTGCAAAAACTTTAAAAATATTACAACATCCAGGAGACTTTCACTGATTTCTCTAATTTATTTTATTTATTTTCGTTTCATTTTTTTTAACAGCTAATAATGTTTTCTTTTTTAATGAGGATGTGTATCAATTCATTAAACAATCATGAACAGTTGACTTTGGGGATGTGTTTTAAATTCTTTTTAAGGAATAATGTTGCCATTTAATTAAAGAAAATGCTCATTTCTTTTTGCTGAAATTGCTGCTATTTTCTATTCCTTTGACAATTGAGAAGCAATTCTCCTGTAACTCATTTAACTGTTTTTCATTATCTTCTTTGTGTGAACACTGTTAATTAACAAAATACTCTCTTCAACAACTTTTAGGTTTTGTTCTCTTTTGAGGAATTCACTTTACAAATTCAACTTTTTTCTTTCTTTAGGAAAATGAATTCCTCAAAATTTAAGTTGAACACGCACACACATATTCTTTTATAGTTTCTAGTTTAGAGTTATAGATTGATTATACAATTGTAATTTTTTTTATATAAGTATAAATAAACTTTATGTAAATATGCACAAAATAACTTATGCTTGTGTAAATCACTTAGTTTTGGATGGAGTTTATAATTGTTTATATTTGAATCTACAATGTGAAGAAATTTTGGATTGAAGTAAATTGTAGTGGCATGAATGCTGATCCAGAGATCACTTTTTAAAGTATGAGCACTTATATTTACAATTTTTTTTTTTTTGTCTAAGGCCTGTTTGATGGCTGAAATAATTGCATATTTCACGCCAATTTTAGTGGTTAATGAGCCCAGGTCCAAGCAAGGGTTTTCTAACTTTGAATGTTGATGCAGCAAAATATTCTCATTTCCTTTTATTTGCTGAGCTTAGCAATATACAAGGTGTTTCAAAAAATTTGATATCATTTGAGATATAAATATTTGAGTACTACATAGCCTAGGCAAATGAAACTAAACAGGCTTATTGTTGAACAAAATAAGATTTATTCATCAAAATTTGTATGAGAAATTCAAAGGTATGTTGATTTCATGAACGATTTTGCACAAGTTTTCAATATGTAACACGGCACATGCCAAGTCCTTTTGCCTTGCATAAACATCCTTCTTTGACCTTTTTATGCCATATCTAAATCTGCAGTTGATGCATTTTTAGGGAATTCTCTCACAAATGCACACTGCATAGTTTTGTTCGATTGTGCTCTAACACACACAACACCTTTTCTTTTCCAGTGAATGGTATTTCCATACCTGAAAAAAAAATTAAACATGGAATTTTGAGTTGTTTCTGCATATACCACTTAAATTTGAAATCATTTGAATACAAATTGGTCAAGTTGTTATTAAATTAAAAAATGACCTCAGTTTTTCTGAAAGACCTTGTGTATTGAAAGTTTTAGATATGTTTTTGTACAGCAATTGATTGTTGATTTAAAAAAAAAAAAAAAAAATATTATTTATCTGCACATGTATTGACTTTGTTTGATAACTGAGATACATATATTTCCTACTGAGGCCAGCAATTGGTGTTTCAACCTAGGTAAAAAACCAAGATTTTAACTGCGGATTTTCAAGGCAAATAATCTTTGCTTACTTGGAATACACAATGCAATTTTTATATCCCACTTTTTGGTCTTTTGTTAAACTCTGCTATATTTTGTAAATATTCCTACATCTTTATTAAAAAATGAACATGTCACCTGTCTATATTATGTATGTCTGCATCTGGATTCTTTCTTCCTTGTTCAATGAAAATGTCCCACATTAATGTAAATTTTTTTTATTTCTACATTAGCAGCCATTCATACCAGACAGAATTTTTTTTTCTGTTTTCTCTTTTTTTTTTTTTTTTTTTTTTTTTTTTTTTTTTTTCTCAGATAGGCAAACACAGCATTCTAATTTTATAATTGCAGTCTCTCGTGAATCAATAGGCCAGTAAAATTGTTTTGCTTCAGAGTGAAGTAATGTAAATAAAGTAATGTTATGTCTTCAAACATACAACTGAAAGGTAAAACATTGTACAAAGTGAGTTTCTTTTGGCTTTACTGCTTACACACATCAAAAATGACATATGCACAATGTAAAGCTTCAGCAAAGTTACTGCTGATGGGCAGAGGAACAGATAACAACTTTTAATAAAATGATGAAAAAAATGATTTACTGATGTGACATTCTCTTGCACTTTTTTAACTTCTGGTCCAGGATTTCATTTAGTTCATTTTTTTTCTTTCTTAAATTCAAATATAGATGTGTATGTTTCAAAACCTAATCAAAGATGAATGAATAGAAATATATAGACAAGCAATTTGAATTAAGCTTTTCATAACTTTATCCTTCATAAGCAATCCTGCTTTATAGATAGACTGAAATTCAAATATACTGTCTGATAGCTATGTAAGCGTTTATACAAATGTCTAGTCTTGAATATTTTATTAGTAAAAGCTTAACATAGAAGATGACTATTTCTAATAAATTAAGAAATATTTTAGAAGCCTTTGGTCACGTTAGACAGAAGTTAAGATCATCTCTTTCTTTTGGTTTTCTTTGATTGATAAAATATT